AATCAAAATAGATCAAGATAAATCTAATAGAATCCCCCTCCATTCTTGCAGCCAGTGAGTTAATAGATATTTCAGAAACATGTTTCAGCATTGTGGGGGGAAAATTGGCAGGTGTCAGGCACATTTGTAATACAAAGTGTTATATGCTCAGAACCCAGAGCAAACATAGCTCAAAAGCAGCTGTGAGATATTTACATTACTGTCCAGAGTTTACACAGCAGAGGGTTGAAATGGAGCATGGAAGCTCAGGCTTGCTCACTCTGAGTGATGAGAGGCTGTTCTGAGATAGCACAAGAAAGGTGAAGATCCTGTGGGAAGCCACCAAAGGTGACCCACAACGAGGGACACTAAGAGACCCAAGTCTTTTCCCTGCCTTCCTTAACCTAGTCAAATCCTTCCTGATCTCCACAGGGGTCTGAAGACTTGCTGGGCCACAGCAGTAAACTCTTCACAGCATGATCCATTAAGAGAATCTACAGAGTGAAAAGGACTGGCCTTTCTTTTTATCCCCATGCCACCAATTGTGAGAGTATTTTAGAGTCTGAACCCACCTCTGATATGGAAGAGTCAAGATGGAACAACCTCAGGTTATAGATAACTCTCCTCCATGTCTTTAGTCCCCACTGAAAGCAGAGTGAGCCTTGGCTTGGCTATGATGTTCTTCCTCTAATGACTGAAGGAGAACAGCCTTAAAAAGGTCCATCTCTGATGCTTCTTAAGGCAACAGACCAGGTAAGAGAGGGGAAGAAAAACAGCACTGAAGGGTAGTTGGAAATGGAGGGAACAGCAATGAGGACTGTTAATGATACAGGCACAATCTCTTTTTTTTCTTTATAACACAAAAAAACTCTTCCTAAAGACCAACAACTGGCAGGAAAAGTGATAGTTAATGGGTCTTGTGCAAAGAAAAGCAGTAGGTGCAGAGGAAACCAAAAAGAGGGAAGCTCTTTTAGCCTCATTTGGGTTAGAGGGGCCCATGGCCATCACTTGCTAAGCAAGGCTAAGCTGCCATGGGAAAGACGTGTTCCTCCAGGACTAAGGATCCAGCTGGAAATTACCCAGATCACAGGCTTGGAATCTCAGTCAAAAACATTGCCTCGCACTCACTGGATATTTTGTGAGTTCTAGGCAGGGCTTCTGAAAAATTAAATTCAGTAGGAGGCCACTTAAAATAGTCTTGGAAAATATTTTCTAAAACAACCCCCTCCAGCGGTCTAGCCTATACCTACAGAGGTCAGCAGAAAGGTTTTCTCTAAATTCAAAGAACTGAATATAACTATTCTTGCGAAGGCACTAATTATCCCCAAGGGCATAATTCCTGTCACTTTAGCAACTGGAGAGACCAGCTACACCTCCAATTCTGCCATTAAAGGCAGCAAAGACAGCCAGCCACCTCTACAGGAGATATAAATTTGTGATCAGTCAATTAATTTGTTAGCAGCAGCATCAATAGAGACTGTATTGATTCAAACACGAGGAGAATATATTGAAATAGCCAGGCTGAAGTAAAATATGCCCAACAACAGAGGGGAACACCCTGCTGACATTTACATGCGAGGAGGCAGTGCTTTATACAGGAATACAGTGGGAACAAAATCAAAAGCCATTACCTGGAATCAGCCACTGACGCAGCCGATGTAAACCAGAGCAGCTGGTGGTCCAAGCAATGGGAAATTTTTAGATTACTCCATAAATTGATGCAGCTTGTCAGAAAATGAGGCAAGGAGCTTGGTTGAGAGTGAGACTTAATGAAGTAGGGCCTGTGTATCAGTGTTTCCTTATTCCTGCTCAGTCTTTACAAAGCTGATGCAAAATAAAATCAAATTGAGCCAGTGGTAGTGCTGTGCTTTCTTGCAGGTCCACAGGCACCCAGCAGGAAATACTGCTGTTCAAAACTGGCTGTTCAGAAGCAACCCCAGATACTGACATGGGAACACTGGTAAGTTCTCAATCATTTGCTGCAGATGCTTTTATTTGCTGCTGCTTAAAAGTAATTTTAAGTATAGCAAATGCAATTGCAATGTGACTGAATAGGTATCTCTGACTCCAGTAGGTACATTTCCCATGCCCACTGGACCACCATAAATCTTACACTCACCCCTGCTTCAACAGACGAAGTAGCAAAGGAGCACTTTGTAAAGTGTGTTCCTGAGCAACTGAAGGTTCCTTAGGTAATTAATAGCAGGGGAGGTTGTTTACATGATCCTTTTAGCAATGTCACAATGGCTTGACATCTCCTCCCTCCTAGAGAAAACTGATTATACAGATATGGGAAACAGATCTGCACACACAGTGAAAAGCTGCAGTCAGTCCTCTTTCAGCACCACAGGGATTAGACCAAAGTTGTCTTGGTACCAGTTGCTGCAGGACTGTCCCGAGGCAGGGCCTCCCCAGCCCCTAAAGCCTGGTATAGGCCTGGCCTGTTCTATTGATTAAGAGCAGCTTCAGCTCTCATCCAGAAACCAGCTTATACATAAGGGACACTTTCCAGCTTTAATTGCTCAGAGGTGTGCAGCATTTTCCTTCATTTAATAAGATTTGTTTAGTCGTTAACCTCCTTCCCCTTGTCACACACATCATCACCTTACACTTATTCTCTTTGGCACTAACTGCACACAGTGTCCCACAGCAGGTAACATTCCCATCTCCTAGCACATTCCATGTTCCAGAGGCCTGAACTAGGCCAGATGCAGGGAATACACTCGTCTGGTTAATGCTAATGCAGAGCATTCCCACCTCTGGGTGGGAAGCACTGGGTATTAATCTTCCTAGAGTTGCCCTTACCTGAAACATTTTTTCTCCTCCATGAAACTTCTTGCTTCTCCTGCCCCAGTAAATCCTGGGCAGAGAACATGATTTGTAACAGCACACACAGCCAGGGGGGATTTAGAATGAGAGCCTCCAAGGACATTAAACAGACTTACACTTTCAAAGGCAAACATGCCTCTAGAAGCGGCTGATATATGACAGGAGAAAATATTTAAGACCAAAAAAATAAGCAAAAGATACCAGTTATGATCAAATTGCTAGAGACTGTGAAGTCTGTGTAAGAGGAAAATGCACGAAGAGATGAGTTGTGCATGGTTAGCAGCAGCAATTTCTAGGAAAAGGTGTATCTGCTGACCCTGTTCCATCTCCAGCTGCCATGAAGGCACGTAAACAACAACAGGAAAACACACACGAGAAGGTAATCCCTGGGAAAGAACAGATTGTAAATGAAACTTTGAAACAGGTTATATCTGCCAAGCCATCCCTGCTCTGCCTGCCCAGAGGAAAGAGAGGATGGATCCACTGAACCCTTGCAGCAAAAGTAGTGGCCAAGGAAGGACCAGCTCTGACCCCAATACCTTCCCAGAATGTGAAGAGGTACAGAGATTTTTTAATTTTTTTTTCCACCAGCTTTTGCAGTATTTATCCCATTCAAGGATTTAGAAAGTCAACTTTTTCTTTTTTGTTCCCTGTATAATCTATTTTTTTTAAGAACTGCTTATTTTAAAAGCAGCAGATGGCAATACCAAATTCTTACTGAAATTAATTATGTCTGAGGAAAATAAAAGCAGTCTACAAGTACCTAGTAGGTGCGTGGCTGTTTGGAAAAAAACAAAGCTTGCTTTGCAGCTTAAAAACCCCATCACCAAACCCCTAATTTGATTCTGTGTAAAATCCTGTTCTTGTTCACACCAAACTTTTTCACCTGCATTACTTCCTAACAGGATAGAGGACACCCAAGTTAAGCAAAACACCAAGATAAGTTTATCATTGTCAACTGTGTCAAATGTGATACTGAGCAGCCACAGCAACAGAGGAAATACTGATGTAACATTATGGAACTTTATTTTAAACACAAGCAGAATGCTTTTACATAAAGTAATTCCACCCCCAGTTCTCACAACAGTCAGAGGAAAGCTACTGCCACAGGTAGCAATAAATGGGTTTGCTGATTAACACTCAGTGGGTTAAACCCCCCCAAGTGTAAGGCACCACCAGCTTTTACCAGCATAAAATGGAGTTTTAAATGGCCAAGACTTGAACACCACAAACCTTCCACATGCCAGGTCCAGCAGCAGGGCAGTTACAAGGAGTCAGTGATGTATTTTTCCCTAAAGGGAGTGATTTGCCTCATTGACAACTTTGATAATGTTTTAGAGTGGAGCTGTTACAGTGACCCATGTCTCTGAGTATGGTATTTGCCACCTGCTCTGACCTCAGGCACAGAGGGACACTTATGTTCCTTTCCCCCTCCTCCTATTTGCTTGGAGCACTGTAATAGTTCGTTCAGAGCTGCAGTGATGTTACACCACCAGTTGTAACAGTGCCTGGGTAGGCAAGGATTGCACTCTTCAAATTATTGTTTGAAAAGCAGGTTTCTTTAGAAACTTTAGTACTTTGGTTTGTTAGTTAGGCTAAAGTGGTCACCATATGACATGAAATTGAGACAGACACCAGCTACTTACAGAATAAAAATAAGGCTTTACCAGTATTGCAAGCAACAAGTATTGCAAGCCTGTCCATTAGCTTCTGATTTTTAGAGCAGTCACTGGCAGGTTCCCCTCTTTTCCACACACCAAGGTAACCAATTAGCACCAGTAATACAATCCCTTGGGCCTGTAAAGCCCAGATCCAGTTACTAAATTCAAAAGCAGACCAATTAGGTCCCTCCTACTTGATCTTAAAATTGCATCCTCTGCCTGGTGTTAACAGGGAAAAAAAAAAGTCAGCCCTCACAATCTTCTTCCTCCCGGCCTTCAATTAAGTAACTCCAAGTAACATACAATCAACTACTAGAACATACATATTTGAACTTTTTACAATACTCTCACCTGTTCAGTTAAATGCTGAGGAGCTTTAAAAAGCTCCTGCTGTAATTATGGGAAAGTCTATAGCCATGTAGTATCTGAGTCTTTGATTACAATTCCTTGCAGTCATGTCAAGTCAACATTTACTTGACTATTCCTATATGAAGACAGACTGGTTTCACAATTCAAGCATAATCCAGAGGATTCTCTTGGCACATCAATTGCCATACTCAGGTCAAACTGGAGCTGACATCACACAGAAACAACTCAAACTTGACAAGAATTTCCTATCCTTGAACAGTGTAGTCTTAGCAGCTTTTCTTAGCCAAGTGGAACCTTAAGAGTGCATTCCAAAGAAAACAAGAGTCCTTGCAGAGCAACCGTAGTCTGGAAATAAGTTCAGTCCTTCACTGGGTTTAAAGCTTTATTTATAGAAAGATAACTGCATTAATTGCAGTGATATCTTCATTGTATTTCAACTCAGCACTAAAAGGTTAATATTTACATTTAGATAACACTTATAACAAAACAAACTGAATACAGCCACAGTTTCAGACCAGAAAGACAGACAAAGATTACAGACTTAGGAGTGAAAGTAATCACAATTATTCCACTGTGGATGATTTAGTCCAAAGGTCTGTTATTTCTTAATCAGACTAGCAGGAAGAGTGGATTTGTCCAAGTCATCAAAATATGGATGGTTCAAGGCCATTTTGCCAGAAATTCTTTTTGCAGGATCATAAATTAACATTTTCTGGAAGAAAAAAAAGAAACACACTTACTCCTCATGAAATGCAAACTAAAATCATGTCAAACAGGTAGATATTTAACCATAATAATAATCATCAAGTAACCATAAAGACATTTTCCCTCTTTGTTCCATGATTTCTCACAGTTGGAGAGGTTATTTGCGCCCACAAGTCAGTGGTGGGGCAGTGGCAGTGCATAACATCTCCAAGTGAAGGATCACACAAACCCTCCTGTTCAGTGACCAAGCCCTTGCCTGGATCTGGGCTCCACATGCACTGAACTAAAACCAGAACCAGCATCAAGTGGCAATAATTATTTGTCTCAGCTTCTTACTAAGGGAAATTAATAAGCTTTAGGCTGTTAAACCCCCAAACATCTTACATTTGTTTCATTACTGATGTTGAAAAAGTGATGTCAAATTGCTTTTACTCAGCTTGGTGAAGATCTTTACAGTTAAAATATAAGAGAGTGATCACTCAGTTTCAAAATCCAAACAGGAAAGTAGATTACAAACAGGTCGAACTGAAAAGAACAGTTAAAAACTTGAGTTTCTTTGCAATAAGTTACTTCAACTGTAAAAGGGGTTTCATAGCCCCAGAACTTTCTAGGACAGACAAAAAATTTGTTTTGCTAGCAGTTTAAAAAAAAAAAAAGCATCTACAGTTTCTATCATACAAGGGGTCAAAAAAGGAATGAAACATCCAGCACTTTTCTACTAGACCCAAAACTAGCAAAGTCTCTGCAAAGTGTTTGTCTCCTTACTAAGGAATAGCTCAAAATTCAAGTAATCAAGATTCTACCAGCTGGCTCTCCCTCATCCCCACAACAAATCTGTCTTCCAGAACAAAACTTGACCAGTATTACTCTGCCCAGTATTCAGTTTTGACATCCAACTATCTTTACACTTCATCCTACAGGGAGTCTTCAGAGTTGATTTAAGCCTCTGAATTTGCATTTATATTCTCTGAACCTCTGCCAAATACTACACTGCCTCTAGATTTAACCTTGCAGTCCAGTTTTACCTTGTGACAGGTTCCCATTAGCTGTACCCCAGAGCAGTGTCCTACAGTAAATACTGGTATCAAAGGTTCCCTTCAAATTGACTCAAAAGGCAAATCTCTCTGTAAAAGGGATGGTGTGACACTGATACTGCAGCACTTCAGCTGCTGGATTAAATGACCATTTCTTCCCTGAGCAGTCTGGGACATAGTTTTTCCTGGAATCTATTGTCTGTTCAAAGCTTTTGATGACAGCCATTAAGTGCTTTCAAATGCTGGCCACAGAAATCATTTAGCCTGTGAAGGTCTTAAATTTAGAACCTCACTCGAGCAACTTGAATTACACATTTTTGTGTTAAGCCATTTTCAGAGACAGCTACTTCACATACTAATTATTTATATATGTTCTGTTACTGCTTCAGGCTTAAAAGTGCCATAGGAAACAAAGGGATTCCCATCAGGAATACCACTGTCATTTTTAGCAAACAAAAATATCAATGTTTATCAAATTAAGGCAAAACTGTACAAGAGCTTAGAGAATTTTTTGTGCTTTGAGACTAGCATTGAGGGCTTTTAGCCTTTACTCACAGCAGCCCAAAACGCTGGTTTTACATAGTGAAGCCACACCTAAGCTCAGATGAGTGCTTAGCAGGTCAGTTTAAATTAAGTGTATCAACAAGATTCTCTTGCCAATCAAACAACTGATTTTAGTTTGTAAATCCAATCAGTAACAATTCTATTTCAAACTGATTTAATAATGATGCTGTCAGTGGTCACAGGGGAAACATGTCAGCCTTAGTCACTTATCTGTGTAAGACAATTCTGCTGCAACATTCAGAGCTACCCAAGACAGCTACATCTTTAACAAACGTTCATGTTGTCAGTGTTAATTGTGGCTCTGTTCACACCCTACCCCCAAAAAAACAAACTACAACTTTGGGGTCATTCAAGCTTCTTGGGTAATACTGCTACACTCAGAGTATTTTGCCACAGCAATATGGTTAAAAACTAATTTGTGACTGCTTAAAACCATGAGCCACATACACAGGCAATGGCTGTGCAAGGCTGCCCTTGCACCCAGGTGGTTCTGAAGTGTCAGCTTATCCCACACACAGAGCGACCATCCCACAACCCCACGGGTAAGTCTGCACTCCATAAATGCAGCTTTAGAACAGCCAAAGGACAACCAAGATACATTATTACACTTCAGTACCTCCAAGAGCACACCGAAGTTGTGACCTAAATTAGCCACAGCGGCAGCACGTGGGCTGGGAGAGCACTACACGGAAAAGCCTGATGAAGAGCTTATCAATTAAAAGCCTGGTGCAGTAGTTTAACTGCATGGCCACAAAACTAAAGGAAACTCACACTTAACACAAAATATATCAGTTAAAAGTTAATACACCACAGCCAAAAATCTTTAACTCAAAATTTAAGGGCAATTGAGACAGACACTACAGACAGACAAACGAAGCCTTTGGTCTCACAGCTAATCAATACATTCAGCTGTTTCCATCAGTGTTTATTCAGTTAAGACCATCATGAAAGTTTAACCAAGATGAGCCCACCAAGATTAATCTACCTGTTACCATAAAATAAACATTTCCAGCTGTCTCAGCAGACATACAGCCAATCACAGTTAGTGCTGGCAGCAGCAAGGTGACAGCTTATGGGCAGGAGCCTTCACTTAGACCTAGTTGTAAAAGCTCATCCTCACTTTCAAGTTGTACCTGGCTTATTAGTATAAAAAAGCTGAGGCATAACTTGGTTAATGTGAAAAGTAGCCTGGTATTATTTATGACATGAGTGAATGTGACACGGGGTGTCAGTTCTACAAGAATGAAAGCTCACCCCACTGCTGATAGTTTGAAGATCTCCATACCTCCCTTCTGGCCACAGCTAATTAGTGTAGCTTTGTGTATTCTGGAGTATGTGAAACTGCCCCTTTTGGTTCAGCAGTTTAAGAAAGAATACTTACAGCCAGCAGATCAAGTCCATCTTTATCCAAGTTTTTGACATGTGTTTCAAGACTGACAGGTTTCCATTTTGGGAATGTGTTCTTATAGTCCTGCAGGGATTCCACATCAGGCCACACCTCATTGTTGGGGGTCCCTAGAGCTCTGTGCAGGCATAAGCAGAACATTAAGCAGTTTATTCTGAAATCTGTAGCATGACTATGCTTGTAACAAGCCCATGACTGTTGTGTAGTGCCACACAGGTAGCAGGGAAGGCTCAGCCCAACATACCTGAAGATTCTGAAGATCTGGTCAATCTCTGAATCCCCATGGAAAAGTGGCTTTTTAGTTGCCAGCTCAGCAAATATGGTACCTATGCTCCATATATCTACGGGAGTAGAGTAACGAACAGATCCCAGCAACACCTCTGGAGACCGGTACCACAGTGTCACTACCTGTTGAACAAGGAAAGTTGTTCAAGTTTGTAAAATCAGGTCCTCTAACTGACAGCAAACACAACAATTCATCTGTTATTAAGCAGCATTCTCAGCTTCTTCAGTTAAAATAATAGCTGATGCTAGAAGTTTTAGTGAAAATACTAGTTTAAAACTGAATTTGTAGACAAGTTCCACTGCAGTAGTTTCTGCTGCAAACCAAGCAGTTGCCTACACTCCTTCCCAAAGGGCAGGAAGGAAGCCTTTAGCACCCATCCAGTAAAACCCTCAAACCTGAGTGCTTTGTGAAGCAAAAATGCCCTTATGAGACAGTGAGCAACAAGTTCCAGCCCATTTGATTCACTGTCAAGGTGACAGTGGGATTCATAAGATGCTCTGGAACTTCAGAGTAAACCACAGTCAAAGAGGTGGAAAACCAAAATATAATTTTTTTATTGTTTTGATACAACTTCAAAACCTTTTTTAGGAGGAATCTAGTAAGCACTGTGCAAACTACCAAAAGAATGTTCCAACTCACTTCATGAGTGTAGACCCGCACTGGAATTCCAAAGGCTCGAGCCAATCCAAAGTCCGCCAGTTTAATCACTCCTTTGTCATCTATTAAGAGATTCTGAGGTTTCAAGTCTCTGTGCAGAACTCTCCTTGAGTGGCAAAAGACAATACCTTGCAAGATTTGGTACAAGTAACTCTAGAAAGGATGAAGTGGGAGAAATAAAACAAAGGAGTCCCCTTCAGTACACATCAGTGTCTGCAACAAAGGTGTTCCCGCACATTAGCTCACCCCACAGTATTAGGAAATGGAGATCCAAAGCATTGCAGATAGAGTTAATCTCAATCAAAAAGCCACACAATCTAATTTTTAAGATTAGTTTAAGGCAGTTTAATTTCAGTAATTAAAAGAATTTGAAGTAGCATTTGAGAGCAAAACTCACATTTCATCTTATTATCCACAGCTGCTTATTTAACCTTTAATTAACTCCTTGAGGAGAAATGATACTGAAAAATAAGAGCTGCTTATAGCTTACTAGGTCATCCTTAGATTAATTTCCCTCCTATATTAAGAAATTGTCCTCATTACCTTAACACGTGAACGCTCCAAATATTGGCCAGATGGAATACTATCCAAATACTTCTTCAGATCCATGGAAAGGAATTCAAAGACAAGGTACAGTCTTGAATCCTGCATAAGAACATCCTGAAGACTAAAAATTGAGTATACAATTAACTCCACTGCAAAGTGCATGGACTCAGTTACATTTCCCCTCTCAACAGGGATACAAACAGACATTTCCAGGTTCTTATTATGGAAGTTTTAAAAGTCTTCAATCATCAGACTTAATAAGTTACACTGACATCTGGAACATCAAGTGTATCTGAAAGAGTGTCACTGAGATAAAAACCTATATGCTTCCTCTTAAATTTATGTTCCCTCATATCAGACATAGGAAGCCTGAGGAAAAAATACTGTTGCCTTTACAAACAAACAAACACCTGTGGGTGTTGGTGCCTGACTTCTCTTTGAAGCTGGCTTATTACAGCAGAGCCTGATTACTAGGAGGGTTTAAGGGAACATTACAGTAGGAACCTAGCAGACACAGCAGGATTTTGCACACATTTTTAAGTATCTCCTTCATCCTTAAATTAGAGTTTAAGGTTTCCTAAACCCAAGCATACATACATTGAGACACCACCTGGCTGGAACTTGCCCAGTTTTAATGCACGTTAAAGATCAACTATTTTGCTGCATCAAAGAGCAAGCAAATATTTTGTTTGGAAGACAATAGCTGCAATCAATTTCCACATGTCAAGTAGTCACTGATGGAAGTTTCACTTGTAGCTCAGATGTGCCAGCTATGACAGCCCCACACACAACACGGAACAGCGGGGAGGTGATTGATGACAGGGGCTCACTTAAGAACACTCAAGTCAAATGCTCTATTCCAAGGTAGCAAATCAAGTTTTGAGACTGCCTAAAGTAACAGCTTCAGCCAGTTTTCATGAAGGATGCTGCCTCCATTCTCACAATAATCTCTCTGAAGATAATTTACATAAATTTCTAAATCAGCAAAAATTTGTTGGATTCCTTGAATGGTGAGAGGCAGCACGAGGAAGGCTTAATTAGAAAACTGGTGTAATAATGGAATTTGGGTATTTAACTATTTGCTGAAAAACAGACACCATATTAAGCAAAGTGGTTCTCACCTCACTAGAACAGTGGGAAAAAAATTGATTATCTGAAGGGACCTAGTGCCCTTCAAAGTTTAGCTAAATACCAGTATATGCATACCAGACTATATTGGGATGATTCAGCTCTTTTAATAAAGAAATTTCTCGGATAGCAGTACTTGGAACACCTTCCTCCTCACTTTCTAGACGTATTTTCTTCATTGCAACCACCTGGCCTGTGGTTTTGTGACGACCTTTATACACAACACCATAGGTACCTGAACAAAAAGACAGTGAAACACATATAGAAAGTACCGGCTTCAGGTACAGATAAGTCATTGCAAATATGAACTGCTAACATAGGCAAAGTCCTTGCAAATCACAGAATGTGCAGAGTTGGAAGGAACCCACAGGGATCATCAAGTCCAACTCTTAGCCCTGATTTGATTATGACCTACTATTTAACTCTGTCAGTTTACCAAGCAATAGTTCTCTTTGTTTAAAGATTGCCACTCATAAACTGTCAGGGTACTTAGCCTAAGTGTGAAAGGTGAATATTTGGAAGATGCAGTTGTAAAATCAAATACTATTTGAGTTTTGTGTTGATTAACTTCCAGGCAAGATCACAATACTGCCTCATCCCCAAGGGGTTATGATTTTGCCAATGATAAATCATAATCAAACATTGAAGGTTTAGCTGCAAGTAAAAGCAGTGCTCTTCCAGCAATCTGAGATCAAACCATCCGTGGGTCTGATCCACAGAAATACCTCTGGCTCAATCCTCAGTGTAGGGGAGAGTGTAGTGCTGTGGGTCCCAGCAGAAGCTAAAACTGGAACGAGTATTAAATCTCAAATCAATCCATTTTAATCACCAGTGTTCACAGAAGTAGAACCCTAAAACCAAGACAGTGTAAACCTTTTCTTTTAACCCTTCTTGAAGCATTAATCCCTTATACGAAGCTTAGACTAGTTTCTTTCAAACATTCATGCGCAAGGCTTCAGTTACAAAGCTTTGTTGCAAGATCCAAACACACATTTTGCTATTGCCTCAGAACACATTCTGAGAGCAACATACTTTGAATTCTCAAGTCTACATAAGATTAAAGCATTATAAAACACACTGACTTCTACAGTTAACATAGGCTGGATTTCCAGTAAAAGGGGGCTGTGAATAACATCTGCATTGAAACCATTTTGTTAGTGCCTCACAGTAAATTAACTATTAAAATTCGCTTCTCCACAGAGGTTTACAGTCTGGGCTTTCCCTTGACAACCGCAGTGCCTGGATATAATCAAAGCAGGATAACCCACAAACACCTACTCCCTACCAGCAGCTCCAAGCAAAAGCATGCCATGTAGCACACCTTCAGGAGCAGCTGGTAAGTTCATATATGCAGGAATAGGGGAGCTTCCTGAATTGCAAAGCTTGTTTCAGGACTCAGAACATATTTCCTCCCGCCCAAAAGAATTACACCATCAGCGTGAAGGCAGACACGTTCCAGCACTGGTCAGTAGTTTCTGGAGACCATGTCATTTTCAAAAGAAGGGCTGGCTGGAAGTTTTGAAATATAGAAATAGTTACCATAGAAAGCCACAGCCTTATTTAGCCCCATAGCTGAATCTCAGCGGTTCCTTTAATAGCCAGAGTCCATAGAGCTTCTGTGACAACCCATAGCTCAAATTGTGGAGCATTACAAGTCTCACTGTTCCCCGTACTTACCTTCCCCAATCTTCTCTATTTTTGTGTAATCATCCATTGCTGTGGTTATTCCTGAAACGGACAGGAAAAGGAAACAGCAAATGAGGGTGAACAGTTGCTGTCCCGACCACAGCCAAGTCGCTGGAACTGTGCCAGGCCTTTAGAAGCTCGTTAGTTCTTACTAATTAAGGTGCAACAGGAAACATTGCTCTCTTCAACAAACGCACAGGGTTTTAAGTTCAAACTAGAAAACCTGCATCCCACAGTGCGAGCGGGCACCGACTCAAAGGTGAAAGATACTTTTGTGTGTGCGTGAAGAAGAAAGCTCCCGCACGGAACTGAAAGAAACACACCCTGCCCACCAGTTTTTCGTGGTTACTCACACGCAGGAACCCTACTATGCACAAACCGCGGGGCTGTGTGTCAGCCACGCCAGGGAACACCGGCCCCGGGGGTCACTTGGTAACTGCAGAGCGCAGCCGGGGCCGGCCCTTCACACCTCCCGCTCCGCCGGGTTCGGCACCGGGCTCGGGGGGGTTACGAGGTACCGGCCGAGCTACCCGCGGCTGCGGGAGCCGCCGAGCTCCGGCTGGGCCGGGCAGCGCCCGCCCTCCGCGCAGGCCCCCCCGCCCCGCTTCCACCGGGCCCGGCAGCCCCGGGGCGCTCCGCCGCTGCCTGCCCAGGCCGGGCAGGGGGGTGTGGGCGGTGTGAGCCCGGACTGAGCCCGGGGCTGCCCCCGCTCGGTCCCGGTCAGTCCCTCCTCTCCTCTCCCCTCACCTGCGGAGCCGCCGCGCGCTGCACGAGCCGCCGCTCAGGGCCGGGCGCGAGCGGGCGGGGGGCGGGGCCGCGCCGCGTTCGAACCGTCCGCCCGGCGCGCTCGGCCAATGGCGCCGCGGGAACGCCGTTCGAACCGGCCAATCGGCGCGCCCCGCGCCAAAGCGAGGCCGCAAGGGCGGCTTTCGGCCGCGGCGAGGGGAGGGAGGCAAGAAATCGGGCGCGGCCGGGAGCGGCAAACTGAGGATGCTTCGGGCGTCCTCTTGGTTCGCGACTCACGGCTGGCGGCGCGGGCGGTTCGGTGCAGCCTGAAGCCCCTCTGCCCCGCGCGGGGGGACACGGGGGGCTGGCACGGCGAGAAGGGTCGGACTGGTCACAGCCACACAATCACAGGTATGGGACAGGCTGGGAGGGACCGCGGGAGGTCATCTGGTCCCACCTCCCTGCTCCAGCAGGGTCATCCCAGAGCACGTGGCACAGGATTGTGTCCAGCCAATTCTGGAGTATCTCCAGGGAGGGAGACTCCACGGTCTCTCTGGGCAATCTGCTCCAGTGCTCGGTCACTGCACAGTAAGGAAGGTCTTCCTCACGTTCAGGTGGAGCATCAGTTTCTGCCCTTCACCTCGTGTTCTATTGCTGGGCACCACCCAGCAGAGCCTGGTCCATCGTCCCCGCTCCATCCTCCCGGCTCCATCCTCCAAGCAGCCCGTCTTCATACACTGATACAATTGATGAGGTCCCCTCTCACTTATCTGTTCTTGAGGCTGAACAGTCCCAGCTCCCTCAGCCTTTTTTCTCAGGAGAGATTCTCCAGTCCCTTGATGAACTTCGTAGCTCCCTGCTGGACCCTGATTGCTGCTGGAATAACGCATTGGGCTGTTGGCATGGTCTGGGGAGCATAATCGTGTTTGGACCAGGCTAAGCTTCGGCTGCAGCTGCTCCTTTTAATCAAGTCTGTTAGATTTGGATGCCATGGCCAGCCAGAGCATAAATTCATTATTTCTGGCTGCACGGGTGCTGATCTGTGAAGTGCTGCTGCGGCCTTTGAAGCTGCTTTTAAAGCATAGACATTAAGAAAAGGTCACTGGATAACTTAATTCCCCAAAAGCCTGGACATATGTCTGTAGGGAAATTAAAGTTCTGTATCCCTGCTCCCCGATTAAGGACAATTAGTCCCTGTGTTGTCACAGCTTCTGAAAGAAGGGTCGGGGACATAACTGGAGAGGCACCTGGAGGTTCTGCTCAGGGAGTGCTCTGCCAGCTGTGACCTCCCTCCATTGGTACCCAGGGAAATAGTACTGCACTACATATGTATTAAAGGAAAGCCTGGGAAAATACTATTCCAAACATTACAAAATTGTGTTACTGAGAAACTTAAATGCCAAATAGATTAGCAAAGTTAATGTGCTTCTAGTTTTATAGGGGTTTTTCCTACAGGACAGTTCCACTGTGGATTCTGTGATGCTGCTGACCCACTCTGGCACCCGTTTCCCGTCAGCACTGACAGTCCTGGGCCAACACTCTCCTGTAGAAACCTGCAGTCCCTGCAGGACTGAGACACAGGCACCACTCCACACTTCTAATGTAACTGCATTTTTTAATTACTTCATTGCACTGGTTTACAACCATCCTGAAAGATGGCTTTGTTGCTTGTCTTAAATGTGACCAGGGCAGGTTGCTGCTGCTGCTGCTGCAAAAAATGTACATCTTCTCCCTCAAAGCATTTGGGAGGGTGATTCCAGCAGGCAGGAATATAGTTTATATTCTGTTTATAACACACTTCCTATACCTCCCCCTACCCCATGGCAAAGGTGAGAGGCAGCTTGTCCAGCTCTTCCTCCTGAGCATGTTTCAGGGTAAACCTCCTTCACTTTCCCCTCCCTCCTGGGAATTTTTGCAGCATATGATGCCCATTCTTGCGTGTTTCTGTTTACCTCGAATCGCCTATTCCCACCACTTGCTGGGGATTATACCTGCCTGGAAAAGGGATTTTGTATCTCTGGCAAATTCCATGTGGAAACACGGCCTCACATCTTGTGCAGTTTGTAGGGAAAGGGCCCAACATGCTCTGCCCCATTAGAGTCACAGAGAATCTCTTCCTTCCGTGTGTAACAAGTTCAGTGCAGCCAGGACAGCCTGGGATCAGCAGTGCAGGTGGATCAGCTGCACAGCTCAGGCAGAGTGTGGGACAGGACATGTCCCTCGGGCCTGGCTCTGCACCAGCAGGGCCATCAGGGTGCTCTGCAGCTATGGGGGAACTGCTTTCTATAGCCAGCACAGGACTGGAGCCACTGGAGCTGCTGGACTAGTCCTTGTCCAGGGACCTTAGGAAGGTGGCAAACATCCACCTTTTCCTTCAGAGAAAAAGAAAATATGTCTGGGAAATCCCAGACATATGGTAACCTTAATTATTTTGGCAGGATCGTGGTGGTGTTGCAGTATTATGAATATTCAGTACTATAAATTGGTATGTTATATTAAGGTATATACAGATTCTATTTATATATAAAACATACTCTGCCTGAAAAGTACTGAATACACTGATCTCGATTTCCTTGAAAGTGACATCTTTTTTCTATTTTTAACCAGCTTTAGTTTAAATATACACAGGTGTTTCTTAGTTGTGCTCAGACTGCCATTTCTGCTGGACACTAACTGTTCGTTCTCAGAGTGCTCACTGAATTTTCAAATTCTTTGAGAATGTGCCTTTTTCCATGCATCCCATTGTCTCGTGAGCTCTGAGTGGGGAAGACCAGGGGGCACGAGAAGGAAGGCTGGCTGAAGGAGAACAGCTTTTACTCAAGAGCCCGATAATCTTACTTCTGTTTCACACGCGAGGGGACTCCACGCTACCTTGCTTATGAGGCAGAGTGCACGTAAGTACAAACCTGTCATGGCATTAATTTGTCAAACATCAGGCTGACAGTTCCGCTTACTCAGCGTTTTCCTCCCTCTCGCTGCTGTCTGTGTATCCTTAGGATACAAACCACGTCTCCTTTCCGACTGGATAGTGCTTATCTCAGTTGATCATTGCTTTGGACGTGGCAGGAGCTGATGATACTGCTTGAGACAAGCAATACAACTGCATTTGTAGTGACTTTTGTGTTCGAAGGGATTTGCTCTTCTGCTTGAAGGAACAGCAGCAGTGAGCCTGCTGACACAGATGGATGGAGGTGGATGGAGGTGGATGGAGGTGGGAATCCCTAGGACTGCTGCTCCTCTTTACAGCAAAACATGGATCATCCAAGGGCAAAAACAAGGAAAAACTGGTGAACAAGGTGAACAGCAAAAGAATCTAGGTCTACCATGACAACACGATGTTAAATTAATTTTATTGATATAAATGACCAAGGGGTACATATATTGAAACCTCTTTGGCATCCAGAAACTTCCCCTTGCTTGAACTGCAGCGCTGCTTGTGCAAGGCACACAGGATCAGACTGACAATGCTGAGCTGGGATTATAGTATTACAGTTGTATTCGTGGCTAAGAACCCAGTGTAATACTCTGAACAACTCCTTCTCTGCTGAGCAGAGGGCAGCTGCAAGAGTCAATATCGTCTTGTCTTTTGTATTTTAATTACATTCTCCTCAGCAATAACATCACTGTAAGGAAGAGAGAAAGTGTATTCTGTCTTTTACATAATGACACGACTAGAAAAAGGTCAACTGTTTGGTGAGTACTAATGAGGGTATCTAAAATAGGTTGTGTTCACTGTGTTCAAAAGCAGATAAATACAAACACTGATTGTCTTCTTTTAACATTTATGAAAACCAAAGATTATTTTGTTAGTGTCACAAATGCAAAAGTTCAGTAGGAGAAATGTAAAAGCATTTAGGAATTCAAGATAATATTAGAGGGATAATATTCTTTAATGCATATCTCAGGTGATACATTTAACCCATTAAATCTCTCTTGTTATGCAGGACTGTTCCCACCGTCATGAAACACAGAGAACTCCTCTGCTGCTCTTGTTCTGTATTAGTATTTTGACAAGATGCCAGAAGGCAAAAAGCTCCTGAGAACTGTTTGAAAACACAGCAAAAGCATGGAAGTTGCTAAGAAAAAAAATTAAATTGTCAATGTCTCCTGAAAGCACAAATATAAACATTGAATTTAGGTTCAAATTATCTTTAAGTATTTTTTTCTAACAAGCACTAAACCACTTTACCTAAAAAACCCAAATATTGATATGATTGCAATAATGAAATTATCATAAACCACCCCTTCAGTTCAAGAAATGAGGTTGTAGATAGAAGGAGCTGTCAGTGTGGTGATTATCCATGGATTTGTGTCTTCCTGGAGGAAGGCTCGACTGGATTTGGAATTAGGGAAGTTTTACCATGAACTTTGCAGCAGCACCCAAAGCGGAGCGAGCGGAGAGCGTGGAGCGGCAGGGACCTTGTGGGAGGGAATGGAGGGATGCACAGAGTCTCTGCTGAGCTAGTTGGGGGTGGCTTCCAGGGACTGAAATGTGTGTGACTGCTGCATGTAAAGACTGAAACCTCCCCCCAGCTCTGACTTTGCCAAACTCCTGTCCCACAGTAGGGAACACTTTGCTGTCACTGCAGATCTTCCTTCACGGTGGGACACACAGCAGGTTTCATACAAGGAGAAATACCTACAAACACCCAACCTGGATCTGATTTTAATAATAGTAATTAAACGAATTAATTGAACAGGGCATGTATATCAAACCAGGCAGAAAGTAAAAAGGGGAATATAAGAGTGCCTTTTGATTCTCTAGAGCATCTGGGCAGAAAGCCAGGCTCCACCAAAGTCGTTGGCAAAACTCCCATAAACTTCAGTTGGGCAAAGCTTTCACTCCTGACCCCTGCAAAACTATCTGTAGGAAAAGGTGGCTGGTTCCCGATTTTAGTTTTTACATTTCATTTGGCCTACAATCCAAGAAGAAAAATGGCAGAACCCAATAAACTGCTGTTGAACTGGTGTTTGGATGCATGAGGGCAGGAGAGGTGCATTCAGGGTTATGTTTGGAGCTCCCTCATCCCGGCTGCAGGTGAACAATCT